GAAGGGACATGGCACAAAGGACAAATCTGAGCTTAAAAGTCAAAATAAAATTCACTAACAGTTTATCAGTTATGGCTTTAAAAGCAGTCATTTTCAAAGAGGATATATGATGCGTTTGGCAGAGGAGGACATATTAACCCCCCCAAAAAAAAAAAAAAAAAAACGAAAATTGCTTTATTTTTTACTGCAAATTATTCATTATATCATATTCAAATATTTTACAAAAAAACCCAGAGCCAATTACAAATTTATTTCAAGCTCAATTTAGGTTTATATTTCATAACCATGCAATGAGATAACATAAACCATACATTTGGCTGTGAAATATCATTACATTATTGTTACATAATTATAGCGAAATCATTAAGGTTTTTTGTTAAAAGTATGTTATTTTTGGTTGTATATTAATTTAAAAATATTACTTTTTTACAGACTTTATTTTTGAAATGGAATAAGATCATTCTAAATTTCAGAATTTTGCTATTGCCCATCAAAATGACCGGAAGAAAGCGATCTAAAAACAACAATGGAAAAGAGAGGTAACAAAGCGTAAACGAAATAACTCCAGTTTGTTCAACTTAGGAAACTTAGTATTGCAGCCAAAGTATTCTAAAACAATAACAAAGGAGAAAATGAAAAATACCAAATAACAAATCAAATATGGCATCAAAATTTATATTTTTATTTATTATGTAACTAAATACATAAAAGAACTTAATATTTCCTGCAGTAAATATTATTATTGTTATTTTACTAAAGTGTAAGGTAGTCCTACATTTACAATTCCTTATGGCTAACCATGAAAAGAAATGTTGATCAAAACTGTTTAAAACCTTTAAGCGCGTATTGCTGCAAAATTATCAAATGTTGAATACACCCCTCCTCCGCTGAATGTGTCATATGCACATCAGCAATTTTTTTTTTTTTTTTTTTTTTTTTTTAAATTCATCCCTTTACAGTGAATAATACAGGTTGAAAATCCTTTATCTGAAATTCTTGGGACTGGAAATCCTTCGTTTTTCAAATTGTTTTGGATTTTGGAATGCAGGCTACTTAATTTGTATATAGCATCTATAAAATGGGGCAACTTGGGAATGGAACAATTACATTTAAGAGGAGAAAGTAATATGAAGAGAAGTTCTCAGCCTGACCAAGGGATTCTCACACAAATGTTTAAACTTGGTGCTTTTCTGCATCTAATTTGTATTGTCAGTAATGACATAAAAGTCACAGGTGTATTTTGTAGCAGAGATTATTCAATTGGAGTTTATTTTGTGTCCCTTCAGGACATAGGTGATCATGGTTCTCCACAACCTCTTGCCTTCCATTGCTCTAAGAAATTATTTTTACCTTTGCTTCGCTTATCTTCAATAAGTCTTGTGAGTGTCAAATTTTCTAAGCCCTTTCTCTATATGTCTTCCAGAAATTTCAGTTCTCTTTCTGATTGTAAGTTTTCTTTTTAGAAGAACAATCTATTTTAACTGAAATCTATTTATTTACATGATTTCCATCGTTCAGACTTTTGTTAAAAAAGGCATGGTACATAGAATCAGAACAATCTACCCAAATGGACTAAATAGAGTGTTTGGTTCGAAATGTATATCACCAAAGAAGGCCAGAGCATAGAATGGCCAAAACGTAAATATGGCAATAAAGGTGAGGACAACAGACAAAATGATGTAAATAGTTACAATACCTCTTCTCAGAAACATAGACTGAAATTTATTTGCTCAAAAATGAATGATACTCTTTATAGTTAGAAAAACATTAAACATATGGTCCCATTCATGTACATGTTTATGCATGATTAACATTGTATTACATACGCATTATTAATGTGTATTTGATAAATCTTAATGTTGCTATTTGTCTGTTTCTTCATGCAAGCATGAATGGTAATTTGACCTGAAAATGTGTGAGTTAATCTTCGAGATAGTAGTGTGAAGAAAAATAATAAAGTGTTGAAAAGTTCTCGGCCTGTCACAATTCCCAAAATTTCACCTAATTGACCAATGATCAGATTTATTTACAGGAAGGTTTCTTGGTTGAGCTGAGAACTTTTCCACATACCCTTGTACATTTTTTATATAAAGCTTGAATGTACAGTTTACTCCAACAAAAGCACCATCAATGATCTATTTTGAGAGGTTTTTCAAGTGAGCATTTATAGAGACCCCCCCCCCCACAACCAAACATCTAATCAAACATTGGATATATTTTCATTTTTACCTCCATCTCTAAACCGTTTCATTTTCTTTTTTAAAAAAGTAAGGAGCCCTTGCAATTGGTTTTGAAACTAATGAGGATTCATTTTAAAAAGCGTGTTTTAATCAGACTTGACCAATTTTAAATGTTAAGACATTTTGTCAATAAAACCATATTTCAATGCACAGTTCACACATTTATCTTTAGACGTTACACTAAAACTAGAGGCATTTAAATAAATTCTGCCCAAGCAATACTTTTTTTTTTCCACACCCATTTATATCTTTCATAGATGCTTTCAGAACTTGTCTGTTTCAATTTGATAGAGAGAGAGAGAGAGAGAGAGAGATATTCAACATCAGACTAATATTATTTGCAAATAGCAAATGTAATATTAAAGGCTAATTACCTTTAAGCCAACCAACTGCTCCTGTTTACAGAGACATGGCTGGTAGGACTTAATGTACAAGGTTTCCAACACCTTCAAGAGATAATCTGTATTTTGCTGTTTGGGATCTGGCAAAACTACAGAGGCCCAAATTTATTAACAGCAGCCTTTTTTTAAAAATTTATTATGAAAGAATTTTTTATTACTTTAAATGTCAAATAAAAATTATGCTTGTTTACACTATTTACATTTAGACTAATATCCTCATCTTTGTTATTATTATCACAAAATTTTGCGTTTCTGGGATCAGGAATTATCATTATTCACATTTGTACTAATGCCCTCATCTTTGTTGTTACTACCATCACAATGTTTCAGCCATTGTGGCCTCCAGCCTTCTTCAAGTGTCTGCTGATCCTGGTATCCTTCAGAGAATTTTGAACTGAAGGTTTTATTTAATCTCTTGGGGTTGATTGTTTTTGTTGATCATATCTAAGGATCTTGTTGCATTTTAGATTAAGTATAACTGGACAGTGGCCCTGATAAAGTCACAATAATGGATGAAATGTCATTTAGTGCCATGAGGTATTGAGAGAATTAAGAATTCTAAGTGAAGGAAAAAAAGATACCAAGTGGAAAAAAAATATAAGAGATTAGTTAATTAGATCGGAATCGGATGAAAGAAGATGCTGTTAAAAAATATTAACCATAACCTATAAATTGTTTATTAGAAAAGTATCAGTAGGACTTGAATCCAAAATAAACCTAGTAAGATTTAGTAAATTCAATACAACTGAATTTTCTCAACCCCATTTATCACCCCAACTAAGTTGTGGTGACACGATTTATGTGTTTATCAAAATTCTGCAAAACCCAGCCGAATCTGGGGAATGTTTATTTAGCAAAGTATTCTGGCAAATTCCTATTGATTCTTACCAAAATGTCTGAACCCAGAATCTGACTAGAGGCACTTTTAAACATAGCTCTGTGAATTCCTGATAGTAAAGTTCTTTGTTTGAAAATATTATCCATTAATGTCATTCCTCTGGACAAATATCTATATAAATCAGAGTCTGCAGTTGCTTCATTAGTTTGCACTGTGTCTGGAGAGAACTGTCTTTCTATTGTTCTTGAGGAGTGAGGAATAGTAGGACAAACACACACAAACATCTGACTTTCTAGTTACCCCCCCTTCTCGATACTTCAAGATCTTAGTAGAAAATCCAACAAGGATTGCAACCTCTGACAACCTACGGTATTGTTGGTAGTTTTTACATCAGCATTTATT